TGCATAATGAACATTTGTATACCTGAATTGTACCCCACATCTTTAAAATAAAAAATTAATTAAAAAAAAATTTTATGGGTTTTTTTTTTGGTGGGGAGAATAAGGTCTTGCCCTGTCACCCAGCCTAAAATGCAGTCACAATCATAGCTCACTGTAACCTCCAACTCCTGGATTCAAGCAAACCTCCCCTTTCAGTCTCCTTGGTAACTAGGACTACAGGCACATACCGCCACACCCAGATAATTTTTTTTCATTTTTTAGAGACAGAGTTTCACTGTGTTGCCCAAGCTGGTCTCAAACTTCTGGCCTCAAGTGATCCTCCTGCCTTGGCCTCACAAAGTGCTGGGATTATGGGTGTAAACCACTATGCCTGGCAAAAAAAAAATTTTTTAATGAGAAATAGTATGCTTACCCACATATTTACCATTTCTGGTGTCTCCATATCTTTGTGTAGACTCAGATATCTGTGTAATATATTTTTATTTATTTTGAGACAAAGTCTCGCTCTGTTATCCAGGGTAGAGTACAGTGGTATGAGTATAGGTTACTGCAGCCTTGAACTCCTGGGTTCCTGCAGGCCTCCTGCCTTAGCCTCAGCTTGCCAAGTAGCTAGGACTACAGATACACACTACCACACTCAGCTAATCGTTTTTTTTTTTTGTAGAGACGGGTCTTGCTGCGTTGCCAGGCTGATCTCCAACTCCTGGCCTCAAACTGTCCTCCTGCTCCAACCTCCTAAAGTGCAGGGATTATAGGTGTGAACTATCCTGCCCAGTGTGAACTATCCTAAATGTTTTTGAAACAGTTTTATTAAGTTATAATTCATAGATCATGCTGTCCACCCATTAAAGTGTACTATTCAGTGTTATTAGTATGGTCAAAAAGTTGTTCTACCCTCACCACAGTCAATTTTAGAATATTTTAATACCCGAAAAAGAAGCCATGTACCCATTAGTCACAACCATTTTCCCCCAACCTGCCCCCCTAATAACCACTAATCTACTTTCTGTCTCTATAGACTTGAAGTTCTATCAGTTTTTACTTCATGTATTTTGAATCTGTTATTCAATGTATAAATGTTTAAGATTGTCATTTCTTCTTAATTAACTGGCCCCTTTTTCATTATGAAATAACCTTCTTTATCATGATAATATTTTTTGTTCTGAAATCTACTTGTGTGATGTTATTATAGCCTCTCCAGTTTTCTTCTGATATTAACTCCAGGAAAAAAAAAATCCAGGAATGGAAAATCACTGTAATTTACTACATGGCTGAGTTCTAAGTAGCACACATAATCATGATAATATAAACACTGAATATCTATTCTAACTTAGGTTGCCATATAATAATATTGGGAAGAATTGATGGGAAGTGTGTACGTGCGTGTATGTGCACGCATGTGTAGGTGCCTTTGTATTGTATGCTGGGAGGATAATAGCTATTGCCTAAATCAGAAAAAAAGTACACATAATAATGTTATTTAGCAATATGGAGGTAAACTAGAGCCAAAATAAGGGTTGGCAAATTTTTCTGCATTCAGATAGTAAATATCTATATTTTAGGCCTTGTGTTCCATAAAGTCTCTGTGGCAACTACTCAACTCTGCCCTTGTAGTATGAAAGCAGACACAGACAATATGGGTGTGATTGTTCCAATAGAACTTTATTTACTATAACAGGCAGCTGGCCAGATTTGGCCCATGGGCTGTTTACCAAATCCTGAGCTGAAAGAATTGAACATAATTGACTCAGAAGCAAGGAAAATAGAGGTG